ACCACCACCACCACCACCACCACTACGCACTCTGATGTCTGATTGTGGGTTTAGCCATCCAAGCTGAGTGAGTTGGAGATATAACAAGCTGGAAGTGCATTATTGATGAGCTTTCTGACCTTCAGGGAAGCTCGCTCCCAACATCTCTCAGCTCAGAGAGCAAAAGCAGACGAGAAATTTTCTGAATTTGAGGTGCAGATCTCGATAAAGGAAGACCAGAAAAGCCAGGTCGTGCATCAATCTAAACGGCGTATTCCGTTAAAGTTGAGCCGACTGAGCTTGTATCGTTACTGATGTGCAATTAGGCGCCATTCAGGTAGATGATGTGTTTCATCCTGACATCTCCCCCTCCAGCATTTATGCAAACGATTCCTCTGGTGGTGTGTATTAGTGTGTGTTGGGATGTATAGGCAGAGTGGTGGTGCACATCCTCTCTGGACAAAAGAAGACGACTGGGGGAGAAGAAACCAGTCATTTAACGGGGAGGGTTGATGCTTTCCTCTCCTGCTTCACTGCAACCCCCCCCCCCCCCAAATCCTGCAGAAAATCCACATTTTCAATGCAAATGATACGAGAGATTAAATCCGCATGTAGCATGCAGTAATTAGGCTCAATGGTCCTGATGTGATGAAGCCCATTGGAAAAGCTTARATAAAAAGAGTTTTCCAGTTTTAATTAGTCTTTATAAAGCTTCCAGTGAGATTCTTGTTTTGTCTTTCATGCAGCAACTRGTTCAGTCTATCCTCAGGTATTCAGTTCAACACAAAACTTTCACTTGTTTTCTTTTGAAGACGTCCATTTTTGGATTTTGAGGTGTTTTCAGACTCATTACGCTCTTCCTGCATCTTCTTTTCATCTTTTTTCACAAATCGGCGTCTCTATTTTTCAGTTTTTCCATTCAGCCTTCTACCAGTGAAATGTTTTTTATATCACAAACTGCAACTCAAGTCTAAAAAGATTTCTCTTCATCAAAGTCTTTATAGTCTGTTTGAATTCTGCAGCTTTTGTTTGTTACCAAACTTTTTTTTGTGAGGAAAAACGGAAGATGTTTTGTGAAGTTCTTTTTGGGCTCATGTTACTGCATCAGCATCTGTTTATATGTGATCTTCAGTTTCTTTGTCTATTAATCTTACTGATTTTGGTGATTTTTTWATTCACCCATTTGACAACGGGTGACTATGTTTTTGCTTATGATATTCTGGTTAAATAAGGGTGGGAGGCCTGGGTGCAGCATGGCTGGTGACCTCGTTAAACAACTTGTTTTATTGATAATAAACCATTTTAATTACCTCCACCATTTTTTCTTGTTGTTGTCTCATTGTGTGGCCCTTGAGCCAGTGGGTTGTAACACCCATTAGACATATTTTAATGAAACTCTCAAAAAATATTCACTGAACGTTCCTCCATAAAGATTATCATTTGGGGTCAATCCAGTTCAAGATGGCCACCGCAGCTAAACAACCAAATACAAACATGGCTTTAACTCTGCCAATTAAAAAAAGACAAAACTTGTATCTGAGTTGTTCACAACTCACAATTTTTAAGCTTCAAAGGCTAGAATTAAGTGTTGGAGTCTCTCCGTTAGCAAAATATCTCTAGAAACACAGTATTAATTTTAACAAAAATATAACTTATTAACCTTTGAAATGAATTCAATTCAAGATGTCTGCCACATCTTTATTAACTTTTGCAAACAGAAAAATGAGATCAGATTTACAGAACGTTCATATTTGATGTGGTCATAGCTGAAAATCATTCTTAACTATATAACATATATTTTAAGGCTTGTAAAGGCCTTAACCTTATTAGTCAAAAACCTTTTTACACTAAACACAATTATATACCTTTGGTTAACAGTCTAATGCTAATGCACAAATTTAAGTCAAAATCATGCTCCCAATTTCACATTTTTGTCTCACCTATTTTAAAGCAAAAGAAAATAATCTGAGCTACATTTTTGCTACTTTTAAACACACAGCAACAAAGTCCTTCCAAATTCTCTAAGTAGTTTTTCCAGATGTTGTGTGAATCAGATCCCTTTTAAAGATCAAAGTTTCTGTGTCTGGCCACATGTTACTCTGAACATGTTCACTGTATACCTCACAGCCATGATGACAGCTGTTCCCCAGGGGTTAATACCCCTTATTACTGGCTGCACCCCTGCTTTTGACAACACACTATTATCAGGGACCGTGTCAAACACAGACGGGTGGGTGGGCACCGGATCAGGGAAATGGCTGGGAGGAATTGTTTTGTGTTTCATTCATTTGGAGAAAAGTAGGAACAGGAAGTTGGAAACATGTATCCTTTTCGTTATTAAGATAAAAGTATTTCTTTTCTCTTGGCTTTTCAAAGGGTTACATTTGTCTCTGTGCTCATAGTGTTCAGAGCATTTTATATAAAGATTTTTAAACTTGATCTTAAGAGAAAGTCTAGGTTTTAAGGTCTTCATTTTAAACTGGTATTTGTAATCCCAAAAAGCTTGTCAGTCAGTGCTCGTAATCTCAGAGGTAAAAACATTCACACAAGTGGATGAACTGAGATATAAATAATAATGATAATGATGACGATGATAATAATAATAATAATGCATTCGTGCTTTTATAGACACTGCTACCACAGTGCTGGCATCCTTCATTCAGGTCTTCCTTAAATCACTGCAAAACTATTTAAAAACAAAATATTGACCTCTTCTTTCTCTTACCAGACAGCGCAGCAGCACAAACAAATGTTTGCGAATCGAACATGGCTCGTAGCCATTCAGCAGTCGCTCAGTCAGACTGAAGAGAAACTGTCTGCCCCCAGCTCTCAGAAGCAAGTCTGGCAGTGGAAGAGAAGCAGCTGCTTAAAGTGATATCAAGAGACAATGAGCTCACTCGGTATGACTTGTTGATCTGTTGAAGGGGATTGCTGCTTGCATAATCAGAGCAAAAAACAAACAAACACAAACAAAATGATAGGCCTATCAATCAACTTGTTCATGATTTCAGACCCTTTTTTATTTTTAAAGAAAAAAAAGCTTCAGTCTCCACATCCTCTGTTTAATTGCAGTTAATAATGGATGAAAGTGTTTCTGAAAGATCTTTAATTGCATTTGTCATGGTTGTTTGTTTTCAACTTTTGGGCATTTTCAAAAAATCCACTACCCTTTCTTTTCAGAAAATGCTGAGCTTTGTGACTTTTTGGGTCAGACAACAAATGAATAAATGATGTAAYCTAGTTGAGGTTTTAAGACTTAAACAAAACTGTGAAGCAACACTAGATCTTTTAACAACACTAGCCACATTTATTTATAAATTTGTTGTTTAATTTGTTGTTTACAGGTTAATTATTTAATTGATAAGAACAACAAATCATTTTTTATTTTGGTCCTTGAAGGCATAGCCTAAGTCTTAAAGCTGTGTGTGGGAAGATTTGGAGCAATTAACATCTTATCCACTGCGTGGAGACACACGGACACTGAGCAGAACCGACCCGACTCAAAGTCAATTGAATAGAACCAAGTTCATGGAGAGGGGCTGAACAGGTGCTGCTGCAGTTAACAGTTATATTTTATAGTCGAGATGTCGAATGCAAGATGGTCCAAAGTG